TATCTCACTATCTACATATTAACATGCATATTTGTCTTTTGGTTTAGTTATCTAGAATGATCTTTATCTTTCATACATATGCATATGATGGGTTTTTTTAGGAGATATGTAACTGTTACTCAGATGCATAAGTTTCTTTCCACATTTAAAACAGGTCATCTATTTAAATCTTCATCAGTATATGTTCATAGTAGTTATGGAGGAGTTTAGATTCGAAGTCGGACTCACCACTTTAGTGGTGGTCAGTGATATGACTCCGATATTTATGAATAGTTAAATACGCTATAAAATATATTTCCCTTTCAGTTTCTGTATATATCATACTTAGGCGAACCCCATTTGTGCGACGTTGGTTATAAGAATCCAAATATGGATTCGGTTAGATGAATTTATTTCTTGCATTCATTTTTAGGCAGACAGCATGAAAATACCAAGCGTTAAAGCAAAGCGCAGTGAAGTAGAGATGGCGTGTGAGCCAATGAGACATGTATCACTAAGCAGTTATAGTCAGAAAAATATAAGCCAGACAGGTGATAAGCGAGGTAAGCGGCATAAACACACTCGAATCACTATATAAGCGAATAATTGGCAAGGTCGAAAGTTGTGTGAGTAATAACTCAAGAAGGATGGATTAGTTAATTTATCCGAAGGCTGGAGCAAACCGTCTGTTAGAACACACACTCACTATACATACCGAATTTATTCCGTCTAACTTATCAGATGGTTTTATCATAGATATTTCGATTCATTTGTTATTTGTCTTCAAAAAATTGACTTCATTATTGCTACTATAGTGTACCAACTTGGATAAACTCACATACGTATCAAGTACTTTGTTTAACGTCATTGCCTGACTAAGCAGTCCTCTGTAGGTGTTAGGGATGTTAGATCCCCAGAACTCGCTTGATAAATGCCTTATTTTGGATTTCACGTTTGCCAGCATAGGATGATCAGTTGACCTTGAGATTTCATTTCCAACCAGGAAAATCCTTGGCTGTGATTGGCTACTGTGTATTTTAGTGTGCTATTTTCGTAACTGTCCCAAGGACGTTTCTATGATGTATAAATAAACGAGAGTTGTGTGCTTGACTGCATTGTGATTGCTAGGTTGTTTGTAGAACATACTTTCTACGCTATATCAAGACTTCTGTTTTGCAGTTTTGGATTCAAGGTAGCCTACCTGGACCCTGGTTCATTGCGTCGTTCGCGTTTATCAACTAAGGTGAACTCGTAATAGCCTCAAGCATACCTAATGACGAGCGTAACAGTAGGATGTGCCTAGGCGGATGACAAGACTGATATTCTCCACGGGAGTAGAATACATATTACTGATTGGGATAGTATAAGATGTCATCAATAAGCCGTTTCGGCGGCCATCAACCTCATGTAATACTGATGCATATCAACATCATCTTTGACTAGTCAAATGCTAACGACCAAGTTACAATGTTATTATCCACTAGTCTAATGAGACTGGACAATCTATGGAATATCTGTGAATTTTAATTATTTAAAGGCAATCGGTAGGTGGTCACCCTCGAACTAAGTTAAATACTAGTTGCTACTAGTTAGAGAAGCATACGCTCAAATTTAACGTAACTAATGCTCACTACATTTGATTCAATCAAGTTGCAACCTGCGTGAAACATCATCTTCACTATTAGCAGAGGTGTATAGTAGCTAGAAGTGGAATTCAGGATGGAACTTGTAAGCTGGATGTGTGTGTCTGAATCTCACAAGTTGATGTTCACTCTAGAACTCGAACCCAATGCCGTCCGCTTGAAACTCCATCACTTTTCCTACTCGTTTATGCAATAGGATGCAATTGTATAGACTGTTTGAATATTCCTATTAACGTTTACAGCTACAATTCATCAATCCCGAAGTGAACAATTCTACAATGTATGTACATTCAGTTGATAAGTCACAAATAGGATGAAACATGCATACTGCATCCCAATCACAATATTTGTAACGTAAAGGCATTATCAAAAGTTAGTCCACACAAGATGGACACATAGCCTCTCAACAATCTGTTTCACTCTATCTTGAACTTTGTTCTCTATATATCTATCTATAACTTTTCAATTAAGCTACAAGATACAGTTAGTTGACGAATGACTACTGATCAACAGCCTATACTCCTTCATTTGGGAATAAATTAAAAAAAGACCCCACAAAAATTGATATCATTCAATAGTCAATGTATAATTTTTTTTTTCATTTATTATTGATTCTTGAATTTCATTTACAACACAATATTTTTATCAATAGAAATGACTGTCACTTTTATCTGGTCTAATCGATTCATCACCGAATTCACGGACCATATCATTATTACCAATGATTGATCTTTCAGTTAAACCATCAATTAAAATATTCTGATTGTTATTATTATTATTATTACGATTATTATTATTATTGCCACTGCTTTCATTGTCAACAATCATCATCATATTCAAATTATTCACACATAATTCATGATCATATTCTGTACAAATTTTTCCTTCATGATAAAGAAATAGAATTTCACGTTTTTGTTTAAGTAAAGTTGTTTTGACAATGAATAAACTAATTGTTATAATCTAACATAATTGAAAAAGAAAAAAAAAGAGAATTTAAAGAATTATTATAAAATGCAACGTTTATTGTACATTGAACATCAATCAATCAATCAATCCATCATTGTTAGAGCATCATTAGAAAACCTGGAAGCACTGAATGATAGCTGTTTTGTCCTGATGTGGGACTCATCAGTGACAGTGCACATCTACGACTCTTGTACTTTGAACTCAGGATGTTTGTTCTTACGCGTGAACACCTAACCTATGTGTAGTGAAGGGGAACACAGGTGAGGGCAACCGAATTGAATTTAACGAAAATTACAGAGTTACTCAGTGAAATCGCAAAACCATATCGTAAATCGTTCATTTGCAAAATATATCAGTTCATCATATCGAACTGGACTGTTCCTGTTGCAAACAACATCAACAATCCATTGTCACTATTCATGCGTTTCATACAAATTCCATTGTTTTCTAACTCTTCCTTTATTGATCTTCCCCCATGTTCTGCTGCCAGACATTACGTTGACACTCACGTCATATACTACTTATAAGCAGCTCGCACCACATATGGACCACTGAGTTATTATCTACCGGTGTTAAAGCCTAACGTCGATCAATCCATGGTCTTGTTAAACCTCATTCACTGTCTTCGGTGAGCAGTGCTTCACACTTGAACATGGTTGAACTCCACCGATCACGTCTTCTCACTAGAATTTTTGAGAATTTTCTCATGAAGCTAGTCATTAGTGAGAATATTTTACAATTTTTTTGTGTCAATTAGAGTGATGGAGATTAGTGTTTTTATACACATTGATTGATTGATGGTTTCAAATGTATAAAAACATCTAATTCCTATAAATCTAATTTGAAAAGAATTCATCAGTAAATATTGAATAATAGTTTGGAAACTCTGAAAACATTAACAATTCTATATGTAGGATATATATATATATATATATACCAGGAGATTCGTTTGCTGACTTGCAATATGCCGATGAAATAGTTCTGTTTGCCGAAGACGATGAGAAAATGCAGTTTCCTGACCACTTCGAGCAATAGTGCAAGCATGTTCGGTATATAATTCTCTCCCCTAGCAATGCAACCTGTTGTTTCAGGATTGGCTTCTGTCGGCACTTTAACTAATGATACGGAGTGAAGTAGTTGAACGTTTTGACCATTTCACTCAACATTGGAGTCTCATCAGTGTTGATGGTCTGGTGTCTGACGAAATCTCAGCACGGATACAAAAGGCTCGATTGGCTTTTGCGAACTTGCGTCACTTTTATGGCTTAGATAAAATATCCGTCTGTTAACCAAAGAATGCGGTTACTGAGTAGCACTTCGCTGCATCTTACTTAACGGGTGTGAAACATGGTCAACAAGAGTAGCGGATATTCGTGAGCTATTTATTGTATTTAATCATAGGTGTCTTCGAAGCATTGCTCGTGTATCGTGGGACACTTGAGTAAGTAATGCTGCCATTAGGAAGCGAGTACTAGTTAAGGATGGCAGATCAATTGACGAAGTATTGAAACTTCATCATTTAAGGAAGTTGGGATATGTATTACATATGCTCAACCACCGACTGCCTCGAAGAGTGAGTTTGTTTGATGTAGGGGTAGGTTGGGAGGAAGCTAGAGGCGGCCAAACCAAAACATGGCACAAATCCATGAAGTCACTTACAACTTGACTAAGCCATGTTGTTAGGTGTACACTACCTAGGTGGGGTCCGCGGGACAATCGTAACTAACGGTTAGGGTTTATGAATGACATGGCTCGAGATCATTAGCAGTGGTACAGGTTCTATCAAATTATAATCTTCTCAATTCCTCATCACCTTTATTTTTCCCTTCACTGCATTCTACTTCTCCAATCATTTCTTCAAAACCTAGTCTTTTCCATTACTGACTGCTAATACTTATACTTCCGATTTTACTGAGTAACTCTGTAATTTTCGTTAAATACAATTCGGTTGCCCCACCTGTGTTCTCGTGGACTACAATACTACCTCTACTACTATGGGCTTCGAATCGACAATTATAATCTCTGTATGTGTTAATATGGTATGGCAACTTGAACTGATCTCTATGTACATACAATGTTCAACGTTTTAGCTGACTGATTGACTAAGAAACTTACATGTTAATCAGTATTATTTATAATTGGATAATTGAACAATGACCAGTGAGGATGATTGATGAGTCACAACAGATAGTGAACACTCCTCAAAATACCAACTTCAGTCTTATGGAACTAACAGATTCATTAACTCAAAAATTAGGAAATAACTTCAACTAATAAACATTTTAAATCTAAGAACCCAATGAAGGTTTGAATTTTCGCTGTTTAGAGAAAGAGTGAAAGAGTTTTGAACAATAATTATTGATTGATTGATTAATCTATGTTCTTGAATGAAGTAAAAATGCCTCATTTTTTTTTAACTCTTCGTGTTCATAATAAACTAATCGATATATTAATTAAATGATTTCTGTCTATCTTGATTTAAAATTCGTTTACTTTCAACAAAAAATCCAAATTGTTTAGACGAATTACTTTTTGATTTTCTTAAAAATTAAAAGAAAAAATTGGTTGATTGATTGATTGAAATCATGAATCGATCAATGTTAGACTACCATTAGAAACCCACAAGCACTGGACGGCCATTTCGTCTTGGTATGGGACTCCTCAGCAGTGCGCATCCACGACTCCTGCACCTCACAGGATTCGAACCCCTTCGGTATTGTAGGCGAACGCCTAACCATCGGACCTCCGAGCCGGTATCTAACGGTGTTGATGTTTAACTTGATCAATTCACGGAGTTGCGCAACCTCAAACACAGTCTTCTGCAGTTACTGTCTACACCTGAACAGGTTGAACTTCACTGGTCATGACTTGCTACTAGAACTCGGAGAAGATTCCTCACCAAGCTAGTCGTCTTCACTAGTGAGCACAAGTAATTTGTATTACGGGGTTGTGAAGATTGTTAAGTTTTATTGAAACCATGAATCGATCGATGTTAGACCACCGTTGGAAACCTGGAAGCACTGGAGTACCGCTTTTTCCTTGTATTACACTCTTCAGCGCCGCGTATCCACGATCCTCGCTCAACGGAATCAAACGCGTGTAACGCTTAACCCTTAGATCACTGAGCCTGTATTCATCAGTGTTAATATTTAAAGTTGATCAATCTAAGGTTTTATGCAAAGAAAATACTACAGGACATAGATGGGATTAAAGCATGATTGTGTGTTCTGTACGCTGATTGGCTAATTCTTATCCAATCAGCGCTAGTCGATACTTGGAGAACATTCTAGAAGCTATAAAGATACTAACGTTGTTCTTACTTCACATTCGCTTTGGCTTCTTACTTTCATTTAACCTCGCTGTTTGGAATATAATCTCTATTCCTGTTCAACTGTGTTCTGATTTGGGGACTTGTCGAATGGGGATTGGTGTCTGAGGAATACTAACTAAGCAATAGGAATAGCTGGATTCTACTAAGAGAGATTTCTAACAGAGTGGATACTATGAAATTCTAAAAAAAATATTTCATTCTCTCATAAGAATGCATTTTCCAATTAACATTAACTTACATGAGCGACAAAGTATACCAATGTATAAAATCGTTCAGAAATACGTGTTGTCTCGAAAATAGGATAATTCATCAGTAATTCACTGCAACCCTTATAGAAAAGCAGAGAAAGGAAAAAAAATGATTACCATGTGTCTATTGTAAACAAATTATACGTACATTAGAAAAAAAATGTATTTTTGCAATTTGGTTATTATTGCATATGTTAGTTTTTTGTTAGGATATTCATTCAATATCCTAATAGAATTATTTGTAAGTCTAATTCTATTGGTCGTCCTAACTATCAATGTCACATACTTCAAATGTTGTTTCCTAAACGACCTATCTATATAAATACGCATTATCTGTAACGTTTTAAGACACAGGTCGTTTGTCCGGGATCCCTGTCCTATTCTGAACTTGGACGTCGTACGTTCTGGATGCGTGAAGAATGCACGTGCTACTTGTAGAGTTAGTCACTGGGTACACTTGAAGCTATTACGAGTTCACATTAGTCGATAAACGAGAACGAGACAATTACCAGCGTCCAGATAGTCTATCTTGAATCCCAGGCTGTAAACAGAAGGCTTGATAAGCGTAGAAATTATTTTGTTCGACACCCAGCAATCACACAATACAATCAAGCAGCACACAACTCTCGTTTATTTATGCATCAATGAAACGTCCTTGGGACAGTTAAGAAAATATCACACTAAAATACACAGCCATGGATTCTCCTGGTAGGAAATGAAATCTCAAGGTCAACTGATCATCCTATGCTGGCAAACGTGAAATCCAAGGTAAGGCATTTATCAAGCGAGTTTTGGGGATCTAACATCCTCAAAACTACTTCATATCACCGGATCACTGATCTTCGCTCTGGTTTACTGACTAAGGTGAACTCGTAATAGTTTAAGCGTATCAACTAACATGGTCACATGCGTACGTAACACTTTTGGAAAATTACTTTTACGTATGCAAATAATCAAATCGGTCTAAATCTTATTTTACATGTCTAGTTTAAACAAATTTCGGATTTTGCAGTTCAACGTGGGAATAAGCATTTACAAAGAATGTTTCAAAAGTTATTCAAACTCCACGGAATTCTCTAACCTGTCTATTATGTTCATATGATTTCCAGTTAGGAGTAGTAAAAGTTAATGTTATTACAAAGTTACTTTTTCTGTGTGTTTCATGCCTTCATTTCAAACGGAAGTAAAATATCAAAATGAAAACGTGAATCTGACTAACACAATCGAGTAGTTCGTCGAATGATCATTAGGTTTAAGCTTTTGTAAATACCTGTGAAAAGTACCCAACTGCCTCACAAGACAAGCCCTCACATGGAATCCTCAAGGTCAAAGGAAAAGAGGAAGGCCAACAAACACATTACGCCAAGAAATAGAAAAAGATGTGATAAGAATGAACAAAAATTGGACAGAACTGGAAAGGGAAGTCCAGGAGAGAGTAGGTTGGAGAAAACTGGTCGGCGGCCTATGCTCCGCTTGGGGTTAACAGGCTAAAGTAAAGTGAGTAGGTGTTAAGATATTCATCATATATTCTTAGGGAACTATTTTTGGAAGTCTAATTCTATTGGTCAATTCCCACTGGTCAATATTTTGGTCGTCAAGGTCACTTCAAATGTTGTTTCCTACTGGTTATCCTAACTATCAATGTCACAGACTTCAATGTTGCTTCCTGTCCGACCAAACTGTATGAATACTCATTATCTGTAAAGCTTATCATTCCATTCCTTCTGTACTCGACCCCATAAACAACTTCATCTAAGGGTGTTGTGATCTGATATATATTGGAGATTTCGGATCAGTATTTAGGGTCGTGTTGGAATATCTGAATTTGATCAGTCTGTAGGATTTCGAATAGCTACATATCAGCAGCATTATAACAGTAAGTTTTGTAAATGTCATTCATCCTGAAAGAAGTACTCATCATGGAATCTGGAAGACAGTGAAACACTACGCTACTGTTCATATCGATTTAGAACAGTTACTGGTTGATCGGATTGGCTATCAACTTGACCAATAGACTTGTATTATGTTTTATTTAATCAGAGATTTGAAGGTTATGGATTTGATTCCATATGGAACCATGACTGCCGATAAGTCATTTTCAACCTAAAGTTTCTAAAATCATGTCAGTCGGTGATCGGAGAACTGTCTTAAAAATGGAATTCTAGTGAATACAAAGATCTGAGGTTGTTAGCAACGAATCTCAATAGTTTCTGCTATATGTTAGAAATAATATTGAACGTCATTAGGGAACGTAGTAAGTATACGACAAATTACTTTAAAAGATTTGGTTCTATCTATTACATGATCGCTATCAACCATATAGACATGAGCAAAAATTGTTCACTTTAAAACAGAATAATAAAATGTTATTCAGTAAAATCCCAGAACTGACAGAGTTAAAATGGTCAGAACTAATCGGTAATCTTAAATTAAATTGTACAAGTCGAACTATACAGTGTAATTAATGATATGACATACTTACTTACTCACGCCTGTTACCCCCAATGGAGCATAGGCAGCTCACCAGTTTTCGCCAACCAACTCTGTCCTGGGCTTCCCTCTCTAGTTCTGTCCAATGTTTGTTCATTCTTCCCATATCTTTCTCTAATTCTCGGCGTAATGTGTTTCTTGGCTTTCCTCTTTTCCTTTTGCCTTGAGTGTTCCAAGTGAGGGCTTGTCTTGTGACACAGTTGGGTTCTTTACGCAATGTGTGTCGTATCCACTCCCACCGCTTCTTCCTGATTTCTTCCTCAGATGAAATCTGGTTTTTTTTCTCCTATAGTAGGTTGTTACTTATGGTGTCTGGCCAACGGATCCGAAGTATTTTGCGTAGACAACTGATAATAACTACTTGTATCTTCTAGATGATGGCTTTGGTAGTTTTCCAAGTTTCCTCCCCATATAATAGGACTGTCTTGATATTTGTGTTGTATCTTCTGACTTCATTGTTGGCTGACAGACAGTTGTTTCGAGTTACAGATGTTCTTCAATTGTAGAGATGATGCGCTTGCTTTGCCGATCCGCGCCATCAAATCTGCTTCACATCCACCTTGCTCATCAGTGATGATGCCAAGATATTTAAAGGTTTTCACAGCTTCCAAAACTTCACCGTCAAGTGTGATTTGGTTGCTACATGTTGTGTTGTATCGGAGATTCTTGTTTTTCCCTTTTCGTGCGTTGAGACCCGCTGCTGCTGAGACTGCTGCTACACTGTTGGTTTTCTCTTGCATTTGTTACTGAGTGTGCGATCACATGACTAGATCCTCTGCGAAGTCCAGATCATCCATCTGCATCCTGGCTGTTCACTGTATTCCGTCCGTGCTTTCTCTAGCGATATTGACATCTTAATAATCCAGTCGAATGATATCACGTGCTACTGAATAATGCTAATTAAGTAGTACTGTGTAGTACTACAAATATTAGTAATTGAAAAAATATAACTATGAGAAAGTGAAAGATTAGTCTCTTTTATCCATTTACTACTTGTACAGTAAAATTTCTACTCTTAACATTACTAAGAAAAAAACTAACTAAATCGAAAATCAATTAAAAAAAACTTTATTTATTATCAAACAAAAAGGTTGGCTTACTTGATTGAAAGGTGGATAATTTGGGTTTGATTGTGCACAACGCGGTAATCGATCATTCGTAAGATTAGGACAACAACTAATCGGTATTTGTATTTCTAAAGGAATGCAATTCAATAATGTACATATTTTAATAATCTGATTTATTACTGTTGGTGGCGCCGTAGATTTATTTTATGTTTTCGTGCATGGGCTGACCAGTTGACCTTGAGATTATATTTTCCACTCGGGAAATTCTTGACTCTCATTGGTTGATGTAATATTTTAGTACGCTACTGTTTTTGGCTCTCTCTCAAGGACGTTTCTATCATGTTGTATAAATAAACTCGATTTGTATGCTTGCATGCTTTATAGAATATACTTTCTACGTTTTGTCAAGTCTTCTTACTCTACTTAGTGTGAGGCATTGAGACACTGGGATTAGAGTAGCCTATCGTGTCATTGGATCATTTGTCTTCGCTTTCATTTAGCGACTGAGGTAAACTCGTACTAGTACTTTCAAACATATCAGTCATTTCAAGTCAAATGTTCATACACTTGGTTGAAAGGAATAGATCAAGTTTCACAGAGAAGGAAGGTAACCCAGGTAATTTAACTATATTGATTGATAACTTTGAGGCAAGCTATTAAAACCAGTCAGAAAACACTTCTAGGTAATGAAGATTATAAATCAAACTATTCATTATTGGCTAAAGCCAAAGTTGGTTAGCGTTATAAACGAATAAAGTTCCTGTCACCAATTGGACGTTAGTAATAATGCATTGGAGTTGACAGTCCTTGTGTTTACTAAAGTTTGATATTTCAAGTTAGGAGTTATACTGGGGATAAATTATCAAATAAGACAAACACTATTGAATATGCAGTGAATCTCATCAGGTATAAATTAACAAATACTTTTCATTGAATGTAAGTGTTATGTTCGTCACTAGGTATGCTTGAAGCTAATTACGAGTTCACCTTAGTCGATAAACGCGAACGAGACAATTACCAGCGGTCCAGGTAGGCTACCTTGGATCCCAAGCTGCAAACAGATGGCTTTGTAAGCGTAGAAAGTATATTTTACAAACATTCAGCAATCACAATCCAATCAAGCACACAACTCTCGTTTATTTATACATTATAGAAACGTCCTTGGGACAGTTACGAAAATAGCACACTAAAATACACAGTAGCCAATCACAGCCTCGGACTTTCCTGGTGGGAATTGAACTCTCAAGGTCAGCTGATCAGCCCAAGCGAGTTCTGGGGATCTAACATCCCCATATGTAAGTATTTCTTGGAGCTCATCTCGAGAACCATATCATATTCACTGTCTCATTTCACTTACATTCACCTGTGACCTGTAATGGAGCATAGGTCGCCGACCAGCAAATTATTTTTCTAGTTAGCGCCTTTTTTTAGCGAGTTAGATTTCTACAGGATAGGGTCGCTAACCCCATGCCTAACCCTCCTCCTTACCCTGGGCTTGGGACCGACAATGACCTTAGGAAGCTTCTTGGAGGAGTTGACGGTCAAGCCTGTCAGGATTCGAACCTGGGATCTCCTGATCCCAAGTCAGACCCGTTATCTATTGCACCATGGGACGCCTCTCAATGTCTCGTCACTTGATAGATATTCTTTTAAAAATTAATTTCAGTCAAACCAAATATTGCCAATGCAAACTATACTGTACTGCGGTTCAAATTTTCCGCAAAATTCCACGTGTTGCTCTCCTAATTCCGATTGGTTCATTACACATGGCCATCAGTATGGTATACTGTGATGATTGTACAAAATATTGATTCCCTTTTTTTCATAATGTCCTGTCTACTTCGAATTTGAAAAACAATACTTTCCTTTTTCCTCAAGTAGTTCTTCTTGGAGTTCAGTACTAGTCTATAGGTGACTATTAAAGTATTAAATTAGACATTCTTGAGTATTGCTAGTTCGTATACAGTATACCAATACACCTGAACATCATGTGTACCTGCATCTGCACACATGCTTATAATGGATCGTTTAGTAAATTTTATTAAAGTTTGTTCTTTTGACAAGTCAATGTATTATTGTATTTGTAGCCCCTCACTACTAGACTTCAGTGTGGACGAATGATCGATTCTGTGATGAAATAAATCCTGCTTTTCACTTCCCCGCATTGAAGAAGGCTAGTGAGCTTACTCCAATGCTGTTCGTTTTGCTTGTACACTTTCCACTCTCATGTTTGTCTGCATCAGTTATTGTATGAAATAATTTCACCCGAGAAACAGTATTTGGCCTTTTTATTACTACCGTCGCACAAACGAGGTTAGCCTACGTCTAATATACGGAAGTGGAAAGGGGGATTTATTTCATCCACACTGAAGTCCAGTAGTAAGCCGTTACAAATTGGACGTTCAGTGAATTCATTAAGTTCTTGAGCTGCTTTGCCGATATACGGCTTGGGAGTCAGTAATTATATGACTGCGTTAATTCGGAGTCGGTATTACCAATTAGTGGTTGCATTTAACTTGTCGTTGGGATTAACAATTAGTGCTTGCGATCAACTTGTCGTTGGGATTACCAATTAGTTGGAAGCGTTCGATTTGACGTCGGGCTCACTAATTTGTCGCGGTTCACTAATGAACTTCAGTGTGAACGAATGATCAAGTGAATGATGAAATATTAAACTAATTGTGTAACTAAAACTTCGAATCTACAGAAAAAAAACAATATTATACAAGCTGTATCTCTTTAATTTTTATTAAACTAGAAGACTAGGCATGTTTTACTAAACTGACGTACAACCATTACCGCAATAAAATCCAATAGAATTTCTTAGTTTGTAAACAAATTGAACATACATTGAAAAAAAATAATCTAGGAAATTTAAATTTTCATAATTTTTTTCAGGTGTAATCGATTTTATTCCATGAAAAATAACTGTATGATTTGCGTTTATAAAATTTACTTGATACAATACTATACTACTTTTAATGTTTGTAATCCTATAGAACATATCGAGAAAATTTGTGCCGTCTCGTCCTAGTATGGGACTACTCAGCAGTGTGCATCCACGACTCCTGCACCCTGCAGGATTCGAACCCAGGACCTTCGGCATTGTAGGCGAACGCCTAACCATCGGACCACTGAGCCAGTATCTAACGGTCTGAATGTCTAACTTGATCAATTCACGGAGTTACGCAACCTCATACACAGTCTTCGGTAGTTACTGTGTACAGCCGAACAGGTTGAACTTCACTGGTCACGTCTTCCCATTAACACCGTTAGACACCGGCTCAGTGGTCAGATGGTTAGGCGTTCGCCTACAATACCGAAGGTCGTAGGTTCGAATCCTGTGAGGTGCAGGAGTCGTGGATGCGTACTGCCACTGGTGAGTCCCATAGCAGGACGAAACGGCCGTCCAGTGCTTCCAGGTTTTTAATGGTGGTCTAACATTGATCGATTCATTGTTTAAAAAAAAGACAGGTTAGCTTATTGAAATTATGAATCAAATGATTGTTAGACTACCATTAAGAAACCTCAAAGCACTGGATAGCCGTTTCGTCCTGGCATGGCACTACTCATCAACAGTGCGCATCCATGACTTTTGTAACTTGCAGGATTCGGAAGATTAGTTAACATGGAACATTTCGAAATTTCTTATGTTTGTTTTACGTGTTTGATCAGATAATTTCACTAGATTATTTACAAATTACTAACATTTACCCAGACTGATCAATAAAAAACTGAAAAATCGTTAATGTCCAAAACAATGGCGATAAAATTTAAGCAGTTATTCATTATTCCCTATAAATCACGTAAATAGTATTTCAAAAACTTTTTGTTAGGATATTCATTCAATATTCTAAGAGAATTATTGGTTCAGTTCATATTGGCTAATTCCGACTGGTCAATTTTATGGTCGTCCTAGATATCAATGTCACGTACTCCAATGTTGTTTCCCATTGGTTGTCTTGACTATCAATGTCACTTCAAATGTTGTTTCCTATTGGTCGTTTTAACTGTCAATGTCACAGAATTCGATGCTGTTTCCTGTTCAACCAAAATGTATAAATACGCATTATCTGAAACGTTTTATGACCACGATCAGGACCAGGGCTCGGTCCCGGATCCCTAGTCTGGGATCCTGATTCTCTTCTGGATTCGGACCTCGTACTTTCTCAATGCTTGTAGAATACACGTTCTACTTTATATCAAGTCTTCTTCTCTAATTCAGTGGGGATTGGGATAATCGGATTCGAGTATCATGTCGATTCGCCGGATTCTCAATCCTATCTCTAGTATTCCGACTAAGTTTAACTGCGTAATATTTCAAAATGACGTGTTTACGTGTATGCATAACACTTCTGTTTTACGGAAAAATTCATTCTGATCATAAAATTGTTGTAGAAACTAATGCATCAGACCAAAATATTATTAGTTCTAAAATGAATTGTTCAGTTTTTTTCAGCTCAACGAGAACAAGAGGTTGTTTGACTGGTAAACTAGGGTTAATTCAGATATCACGTTCCTACATCCATACTCTTCTAGTTCAAGGTTAACTGATTCTCAAATATGTCGATCCGCTGATATAGGGTCATGGTTGCCTATGGTAAAGAGTTCTACAGTAATAATATGTAAATTTCAAAGCAAGTAAACAGGAGATCGGTTATATGAGCATAGTAGTTTAATATTTATCTATCTATCTATCCAACGCACTAATTTTTGAGATGGATAGATGATGGATGTCCCAGGGAATATCAACACCACTACTAGAATGCAGGTACACACACTAGCTGAGGAGTATGTCTCAACTAGGACGGAAACTTGCTTATCAGGTTTTACTTATTACATAACGGGGTTGTGAAGATTGTTAAGTTAGACATTTGAAATTATGAATCGATCAAAGTTAGACCACTATTAGAAACCTGAAAGCACTGGATGGTCGTTTCGTCCTGCTATGGGACTCATCAGTGGCAGTACGCATCCACGACTCCGGCAGCTGACAGGATTCGAACCCAGGAATTTCAGTCTTTCGTGCGAACGCTTAACCTCCCATACCAGGACGAGACGGCCATCCAGTACTTTCAGGTTTCTAATAGTTGTCTAACTTTGATTGATTCATGATTTCAAATGTGTAACTTAACAATCTTCACAACTTCGTAATACAATTACTTGTGCTTACTAGTGACTAGCTTCGTGAGGAATCTTCTCTTAGTTCTAGTGGGAAGTCGTGACCAGTGAAGTTCAACCTGTTCAGGTGTAGATAATAACCTTCGAAGAATGTGTACGAGGTTACGCAACTCCGTGAATTGATCGAACTTAGACATTAACACTGGCTCAGTGGTCCAGAGGTTAAGCAATCGCGCGCAAGACTGGAGGTCCTGGATTCGAATCCTGTGAAAAGCAGGAGTTATCCACTCTCAGTTTATTGTTTTTTTGGGCAATTTAACACAAGTGAATATTGAACATCGATTGTTTACTTTTTAATATAACTCACGATATGTTTTATTTTCATAAGTCACATTTCTCTTCCATTGTAAATCTGGATTTAACCATTCAGTGTAGTTATGAATACCGCAACAATGAAACTAATAATTAGTAAAACAAAGTAAATATAATATTTATTCAGGAATATATATATATATATATATATATATATATATATATATCAGCAAGTGTGAGAACTATAGAGGCAATACTCTACTATGATTTCTAGGAACAGTCTTCAACAGAGTGTGTTGTTAAACCGAACGAAAGATTCAGTAGACACCCAACATCGAGATCTTCAGGCTGGATTTTGTCAGTGTAGATCGAGTACCGATATTAAGGCGTGCCTGAGAAGACAGTCAACATCATACTGATTTCTTGTGATGGATTAAACTGCAAAATCGTGCACGGAGGACATCTGACAAGCTCGTTCGAGTTGAAAACCGGTGTCAGGTACGGTTGCTTTCTTTCACCCTTTCTATTTCTCCTGATTGTCAATTGGATTATGAAGACGTCTACTTTTGAGGGTAAGCGCGGGATACAATGGATAGCTTAGATGCAGCTGTACGTTCTGGACTTCGCATTTGATCTAGCTCTTGTATCGCACACGCAAAAACAAGCGAAGTAGAAGATAAATAATGTAGCAGCAGCCTGAAGAGCTTTAAGTCTCAACAAAAAGAGATGCAAAAGCAAGATCCTCCGATACAACACAGAGGCATCAGTCAAATCACACTATATGGAAAAGCTTCGGAAGATGTGAAAACTTTGACGTGACTGGACAGTATCATTGATAAACAAAATGGATCTGATGCCGATGTAAGGACTCAGATTAGCAAAGAATAGGCGCTACTTGTACAACAGAAGAACATCTACAACTCAAAACAACCGTCAATCAAAACTAAAACCAGAATTTCCAATCCCGATGTCAAGACAGTTCTGCAATATTAGCTGGAAACTTGGATGATCAAGAAAGTGTTTGTTAACTGTTGTCTAGGCAAGGTACTGAAGATCCGTTGGTCAGACACCATCAGCAACAAACTACATTTTTCAATACAACAGTAATGAAAATGATACTTGATATCTGTTATTATTCTTTCTCATATTACAACCCAGCTATTCCTGTTACTTAGTATTCTGGGACATCAATTCACTCGAGACATTCTCCTAAAATCAGAAGGCGGTTGAACAGCAAAATAGAGATTATATTCCAATAACAAGGTTAGAATGGAAGCCAGAAGTTCCAAAAGAAAAAGACGTTGGTGTATTTATAGTTTTCTTATATGAGAAAATTCTAGAATGTTCCTTCAGTATCGGCTAGCGCTGATTGGATAGGGAAAGAGCCAATCAGTGTGCAACAACGCAACATGCCTTAATCCAATCTATGTCCAGCTAACAATAATAATAATTCAATGTAAAACTAACGTTGTACATATTGTGAATAAATTTATTGTTGAAAATGATCGTGTAATTTTTAATATTGAGATATCTATGTTGGTCATTGACAAAAAAGAACTTTGGGAATGGAATAAATGTGTCTAGCAACAGAATAAACTCAACTCTTATAAGTGAATTTAAAATTCACGCGTAAAGTGCAAGTAAGAGACTATGTGGATGTAATATTCATCAAAATGGAACTCGCTCGATAAATGTCTTAATTTTGGATTTTATGCACATGGGCTGATCAGTTGACCTTGAGATTACATTTCCCACCAGGAAAATCCTTGGCTGTGATTGGTTGCTGTGTTATTTTAGTCTTGCTATTTTTGCAACTCTCCCAAGGACGTCTCTATGGTGTACAAATAAACGCGATTTTTGTGGTTGAATGCATCGTGCTTATTGGGTGTTTGTAGAATACACTTCCTGCGCTACATCAAGACTTCTTGCTAGTGCCCTAGGGTCAGTGGATCAGAGTAGCCTATCTGGACGCTGGTTTATTGTCTTGTTCTCGTTTATCGACTTAGGTGAACCCGTAATATTTTCAAGCATACCTAGTGATGAGCATAACAGGAAGGTAATGAGTTCGAATCTTGAAGCGAACTTTGAGATGGAAGTACAACCAATTAACTGGTTCAAAATGAGATGAAAATTACATCTTCAATCCCAATGTTGACCATTATCTGTCATAAAATGGTTAAAATTTGTTTTACTATAGTTTTGTATACATGTGCTACTACTTCGAAATCGCTTGATCTTTAAATCATGAAACATGTCTCTGTCGAATACATCTTTTTATAGTAGCATTAAGTTAAACGTTGAGATCATCAGTTTTGTGGCTGTATTGGATTCTAAGAGTAGGTCTCATCATTTTAGTGGCCCTCAATGAATTTTGTTTTCATGAATGATCGAGTATGCTATGAAATAAATATCCCTATCAGTATCCATATATCATACTTAGACGAACTCTGTTTGTGTGACAGCGATAATTAGAAGAGAAATACGGATTCGGTTGGATGAGTTTACTTCTTACAATCGTCCCTGCATTCATTTAAACAAGCAGACGCGAATGGAAAGCATACAAAGAAAGCGAAGCGGAAAAGACAGGCGAGCCAATATAGTGAGGCATGACTACTTAGTCAGACTTATAATCAGACAAAAATAAGCCAGCCACGTAATAAGTGAGGTAAGAGGGCACACACCTACTCGAATTGAGACAAGTACTATATATAAGCGAATAATTGGCAAAGTTGGACGATGTGTAAATAAAACTCAGGTAGAATGGATTAGTTTAATTGTCTGAAGGCTTGGGACAAGCCCTGTATGCTCAACATAAAACTACACTCACTACAATCTCTCCTGTATACCATTCAATTATAACATAACTTCTAAACTTCTATCAACCAATGATATATGGGTAGGTAGATGGTTACATTATTGCTATACATAATGTTACAATAACTTCTTACATGTTTGAGACTTCAGCATACATAACATTGTACATCATCAGTAGAATTGAATATGTATGAACTTTGTTATCATTCGATTAACTGTATCACTCACTATATAATATAAACTAACAAATTTTTACAAGCTTGGCATTCAAATCAATCAGCACTCAGCAGACACATTGACATTGAGCCAATGTATCAACCAATCAGAAAAACTGAAGAGGAACATAAGATCAAGGCATTGATCAAAGGAAAATACAATCAAAATAAAGTGACAGATTGTGAGCTGGACGTATATGGGATTAAAGTAAGATTGCGTTAGCTGCACGCTGATTGGTTAGTTCCTATACAATCAGTGCTAGTCGATACTTGGAGAACATTCTAGAAGCTTTCGTGTAAAAAACTATCAAGATACTAACGTTGTTTCTATTTCGCCTTCGCTTCGGCTTCTTACTTTCATTTAACTTTGCTATTTGGAATATAATCTCTTCCCAGTTCAATCATGTTCTGATTCGGGGACTTGTCAAGTGGGGATTGGTATCCGAGGGATACTAAGCAATAGGAAAAGCTGGGTTCTACTAAGGGAGAATTATAACGCAGACAAAGACAGGTTTAAGATCAATAACAAACAGACAAGATCTACATCAACTTGACAAGCTACCAGTCATACATGGAGAAATTCGAATACTTCCCTTCTTCTACCAGAAGTTTGTACTGCTGCTGTTGGTGATGTTATTCAGAAGAACCAAGAAAGCTTTACAACCAAAACAAAATTCAGCTCAGAGAACAAAACTCCATCACAATCATCCAGCTCAACCACAAATTTTCTCCACCATCTCATAATATAAACCAGCTCAATAAAAAATTCGTTCTAATCTTTACATACTACTTTAATAAGTAGCTAAATTTCTTCATATTGTGTGTATATATTGAATTCAACTTACATGTTGATGAATATAATTGAATAATAATGTAGGGAAATTATTTGTTTCAGCACCCAAATAATGAGATTGAACTTTTTGTAATTCATTTAGAAATATTTCGATATTCTGTTGAAAAACAAAATAAAATGAAGGGAAATAGAGATTCATTGAATCATTTTGTGTTTTATTATTATTGTCATTAGAATCAATACATTTTTGTAACCATGAATCGATTAATGCTAGACCACCATTAGAAACCCACTAGCAATGGATGGCCGTTTCGTCCTGGTATAGGACTCATCAGTGGCAGTGCGCATCCACGACTCCTGCACCCAGGACCTTCGGTATTGTGCGCGAACGCTTAACCTCTGGACCACTAAGCCAGTATCTAACAGTCTGAATGTCTAACTTGATCAATTCACGGTGTTATGCAACCTCATACACAGTCTTCGGTGGTTACTGTCTACACCCGAACAGGTTGAACTACACTGGTCACAACTTCTCACCAGACATCAGAGAAAACCCCTCACAAAGCTAGTCACTAGTGAGCACGTTTTTTGATCGTTGTTCTTACACACTGAAATCATGAACGAATTATTGTTCAATCACTAATGGTTGAAAAACATTTTCCATCTAGGAAAATTGTTTGAATCTAATTCACCACCATTAGAAACCCACAAGCACTGGACGGCCGTTTCGCTATGGTATGAGACTCATCAGCAGTGCGCATACACGACTCTTGCGGCATCGGAACCCAGGTCCTTCGGGCTTGCACGCAAACATCTAATCTCTATATCAATGGGCCGGCATCTAACGGTGTTAATGTATAACTCTGATAAATATACAGATTTTGTGTGACCTCACCCATTTGTCTTTTGTAGTTACTGCCTAAACCCGACAGGGTTGAACTCCAGTGGTCATGTTGGATGCCAGCGCAATAGTTCACAGGTTAGGTGTTCGCGCCAGGGTTCGAATCCCGCAAGATGCAGGAGTCGTGGATGCGCTCTGCTGATGAGTCTCATACAACGACGGAACGGCCGTCCAGTGCTTGTGGGTTTCTAATGGTCGTCTAACAATGATTGATTGATGATTTCACTGATCTTTGTTTTTTCTCTCCGTGGTTAGGGTAAGTTACTGCTGAGTTATCCTTCAAGTATAGAGTAAGCATTCTTTCATCACTGTTTTATATTGGTTACTTAAAAAGGTTTTCTTCGTACTGATTAGCCAGTTAATTACAACGTAGAACTTGGTACGTATGTACGTCAGTTCAAGTTATGGTAATGGAGACGATTTGGGATCGAATGTATTATTCAAGAAGTGTAGTTCAGTCAGATAACTTTAGAAAAAGAAAGATAGAGATGATGAGGAATTTTGAAGATTAGAATTTGAGAGAATACAAAGAGTGGATGCATCTGCGCCATTGCAAACGATTTTGCTCGACATGTTCAAGGTCTTTGACCATAAGTTACTATCGCCTCGCAGACCCCAACCAGGTAGCGTCCACCTACAAACATGACTCAGTCCTCGTGTCATTGACTTCATGGAATTGTGCCATGTTTTGGTTTGGCCACCCCGTGCTTTCTTCCAACCTACTCCTACACCACAAAACATAGCTCATCGATGGCAGTCAGTAGTTGGTCATTCATAACACATGATATACTGGTTAGTGTAACGGTCAATTAGGATCTTTAAAAAAACTGAACAATATCAAAAAACATCATTTGACAGTATGGATGAAATAATTTTTTTTCGTTTGAAAAAAAAACAGGATGACTTACTAATTTTGAATCCTTATAAATCAATGTTAGAAAGACTGAAGCATCAACAATTAACAAGGAAGTCAATATGAACATATTCTGTGAATAAAAGCAAAAAGATGGGGGATAAACTATTACGCCTGCATGTAAACATGTCATTTTGATATGATTGAACTATTACAAGTTTACCTAGTCGGAAAACGAGAGAGAGGATCGAGGATCCGGTGACACGACATGCTACTCTAATCCGATTATACCAAACCTTAGATTGAATAAAAGTAAGAAGACTTGATATGAATTGGGACCTGTATTCTACAAGCATCGAGAAAGTACGAGGTCCGAATCGAGAAGAGAATCAGGATTCCGGACTAGGTATCCGGGACCGAATCCTAGTCCTGGTCATAAAACTTTACAGATAATGCGTATTTATACAATTTGGTCGAATAGGAAACAGCATCGAAGTCTGTGACAGTGACAGTTAAGACGACCACTAGGAAACAACATTCGAAGTTATATTGATAGTCGGGATAACCAATACGAAACAACATTGGACTACTCGACATTGATATCTAGGATGACCATAAAATTAATCAACAGGAATTGACCAATAATTCTCTTAGAATATTGGATGAATATCCTAACATAAACACTGTCAGAAATGTTATTGATTCTGGGTTCATTTGTGAAATGTATTCACATTAATTAGATAAATGAAATATTTACTTCAAAAAAACACTACGTTATAATTAGGGATAAATCATTGAACATTGACCGATTCATACCAATAAACACTTCACTACAAGGATTATTCTATGTATTGAAGTGTGTGTATATTCAGAGTTTTGAGCCATGTCACTCAGAGTTTCTAACCATCGTTTATTATTATCTCGCGGACTTCAACCAGGTAGTCGAAACCTACCGACATGACTCAGTCCACTTGTCAGTGACTTCATGAATTTGTTGGTTTGGCAGCCCACCTAGCTTTCGACCGAACTATTCCTATATCGCAATACATAGCTCGATGAGGCAGTCGGTGGTTAGCCATACGTAACACATGTCCCAACAAACTCAACTGATGGAGTCTCAATACTTCATCTATTGACCTGCCATCCTTACCCAGTATTCGTTTCCTAACAACTGCATTGCTTACTCAGCTATCCCTCGAAATACGAGCAATCATTCAGAGACATCTATAATCAATTACTATTAACCTACGAATATCCTCAACTATTACCGACCATGTTTTGCATCCATATAATAGGACGGAGCAAACTACTACGCTGTACACTCGTCCTTTAGTCAGCAAACGGATATGTCGCCTGTGCCATAAGTGACGCAACTTGGCAAAATCCAATCGAGCCTTCTGTATCCGAGCTGAGATTTCGTCAGTCACCAGGACATCAGCACTGATCAGACTCGCCAGATAAGTGAAGCGGTCTACACGTTCGACCACTTCACTCTTTCTTACTAGTTCAGGTGCCGATGCAAGCCAATCCTGAAGCAACATTTTGCATTCCCAGGTGGAAAACCGCGTCCTGAACATGCTTGCGTTGTTGCTTAGGATAGTCAGAAGACTCTGCATTTTGTCAGCGTCTCCACCGAATAGAACTATGTCATCGCTGACATGCTATTTTTAAAATTCTAGATCTAACCATAGCGAAGGTCTGAAAAATCGATACATAACTTGAAAAACTCCTTCTGGAGCCGCTCTCGGGTTACTGTCGGTTCTAAGCCCGTATAAAGGTGGAGGGTTGGGTATGACATGAACGAACATATCCCGTAGAAAACCAGATCGCTAAAAAACGCTAATCAGAAAAAATAATTCGAGCTATTTATAGTTGCTTCTGAGAGTTGGAAAATATTCATTTAGAAGGGTTATGATGCTTCATGATGAAAGCCGAGTTCTTTTGGAATTCACGAGGCTGATGCCCCTTCTCATAAGCAGATCAACAATTAATTTAGATATATGGAATGTTCGAATAATGTGGGAGACCGAGAAAGTCATCCTATTTACTGCAGAAATGAAAAGACATAACATGGAGGTTCTTAAAATCGGTGAAATACATTGGATGATGGTTGGACAACTAAGACTAGCTTCAGGAGAGCTGCTGTCATACTCCGGCCATGAAGCAGAAAATGTTCTACACACACTAAGAGTTGAAATGATGCTGTCCAAACAAACACAAGAAGCACTGTATAAGATGGGAATCTCATAGGCCCATGATTATCAGAGCATCCTTCAAAATGAGAGGATTACGACGAACGTCACCCAGTGTTGTACACCTATCAACAGTAACAATGGGGAAGTTAAAGTTTGGTTCTACAGGCTGCAACGAATCATTGAGAAATGTTCAACAAAAGACTTTATTATTCTGATGGGAGATCTAAATGCCAAGGTTGGAATAGGCAACATCAGATATGAAGACATTATGGGATAATATCGACTGGGAGTAAGGAACGAAAATGATGTGAGGATAAAACCTATGTGCCTTCAACAAACTGGTCATAGGTGACAGCATATTCTCACACAAACGCATGCATAAAGCGACACTGGTTTCATCCGATCACATAACACAGAACCAAATTGATCACATCTGCATTATTAAAAAGTTCAGAAGGACGATGTGGGACATAAGAACCAAGATAGGAGCTGACATAGTTTCAGATTATCACTTGATGGTAGCCAAGCTGAAAATAAAGAAGCTTTGGACAATGGAGCGAAAGCATTACCAAAGTTTAATACGGTCATCAATCAGTATCAGCCAAACAAGAGCAGATAAGGCCAAGAAACGAGCTAAATGCACAGAAGCAAACAACCAAGTGTGAGAACTGGAGGAGATACCACTCTTCTCTCAATACTAGGCAACGTCTTCGACAAGGTATTGTTAAGTAGAATGAAGGACTTTGTAGGCACCCAACTTCGAGATCAACAGACTAGATTTCGTAGGGATCGATCGTGTGCCGACCAAATTACAACATGACGGATCATTGTGGAACAATCAATCGAACGAAACTCACCACTCCACATTAAATTCATGGACTACGAGAAAGCATTCGATAGCGTGGACAGGGAAGAACTGTGAAGGCTTCTTTGACACTACGGTGTGCCTGAGAAGATAGTTAACATCATACAGAATTCTTATGATGCAATAAACAGCAGAATCGTACATGGAGGACAGCTGACAGACTCGTTCGAGGTGAAAACCGGTGTCAGGCGTGGTTGCTTACTATCATTCTTTCTCTTACTTGCCATGGTTATCTGGATTATGAGGACGTCAAAATCTGAAGGGAAGCACGAAATTCATTGGCAAGTTAGGATGCAGCTGGACAATCTGGACTTTGCAGATGATCTGGCTCTTCTTTCCCGCACATGAAAACAAAATCAGAAAAGTACAGCTTGTGTAGCAGCAGCTCTTGAGGAACTAGATCTCAAGATACACACAAAATGAACCAACCAAATCACACTCGATGGAGAAGCTTTGGAGGATTTACAAATCTTTACATATTGGGGCAGCACTATTATTGATGAGCAAGCGGGATCTGAATTAGATTTGAAGATTTGAATTGGCAAATCAAAGGGATCATGTTTATAATTGAAGGATATCTGAAACTCAAAACAACTGTCTGTCAGTCAACATCAAAGTCAGAATTTACAACACAAATATCCAGACAGTTCTACTGTATGCGACGGAAACTTGGAGGACAAAGAAACACATCATCCACAAGATTACTTACTCACTTACTTACGCCTGTTACCCCTCAATGGAGCATAGGCCGCCCACAAGTTTTTTCCAACCATCTCTTTCCTGGGCTTCCCTCTCTAGTTCTGTCCAATGTTTGTTCATTCCTCTCATATCTTGCTCTATTTCTCGGCGTAATGTGTTCCTTGGCCTTCCTCTTTTCCTTTTGCCTTGAGGGTTCCAGGTGAGGGCTTGTCTCGTGATGAAGTTAGGTGCTTTTCGTAGTGTCCTATCCACTTCCATCGCTTCTTCCGAATTTCCTCCTCCACTGGAATCTGGTTTGTTTTCTCCCACAGTACGTTGTTACTGATGTTGTCTGGCCAACGAATACGAAGTATTTTGCGTAGACAACTGTTCATAAATACTTGTATCTTCTGGATGATGCCTTTTGTAGTTCTCCATGTTTCCGCTCCATACAGTAGAAATGTTTTGACATTTGTATTGAAAATCCTGATTTCGGTTTTGGTTGAAAGTTGTTTGGAGTTCCAGATATTTTTCAACTGTAGAAATGCAGCCCTTGTTTTGCCGATCCGTGCCCTCATATATGCATCAGATCCACCTTGATTGTTGATGATGCGGCCCAGATATGTAAAGGTGTTAATGTCCTCCAAGGCATCTCCATCAAGAGTGATTTGGTTGATGCATGTTGTGTTGTATCGGAGAATTTCGCTTTTTCCTTTATGTATGTTGAGACCTACTGCTGCAGAGGCTGCTGCTACACTGGTCGTCTTCTCTTGCATTTGTTGTTGCTTCTACAACTGCTTTAATTGCCTCTGCTGGAATGTTGTCTGGTCCTGCTGCTTTGCCGCTCTTGATTTGTCTGATGGCCATACTGATCTCCTCAATCGTAGGTGCGCCAATCATTTCTGTCGCAACTTGAAATAGTCTTCCAGTCTCCCACAATGTACGAACGTTTCACGTACCTAAAAAAATGGTTGCTCTGGTTGTCAGATTAGGTATCAGCCCCGTGACTTCCGAGAGAACTCGGCTTTCATCAAGCGATGTCATAATTCTTCTTCCAACTCCTAGGGCAGAGTTAAAATGGTTTGAATTATTTTTTCTGGTTAGCTTTTTTTTGGCAAGTTAGATTTCGACGGAATGGGGTCGCCAACCCCATGTACAACCCTCCTCCTTTATCCGGGCTTGGGACCGGCAGTAGCCCCTAAGGTTCTTCTGGCGGAGTTTCATCCAGAAGATACAAGTGTTTATCTGAAGTTTTCTACTAAAAATGATTCGGATACGCTGACAAGACATTATCAGCAACCAGTTTCTGTGGGAGAGAACAACTCAGCTTCCAGCTGAGGAAGAAATTATCAAAAATGTGTTGGAGGTAGATCAGACACATATTGAAGAAAGCTCACAACTGCGTTCCAGTGTTATCCCTCTCTCATTTGAAATCTTCAAGTCCAAAAGAAAAGAGGAAGTCCAAAAAAGAAAACACATTAAGCCTAGAATCGGAAACATACATGGAAAAGACATCCCAGCAGAGAGTATGTTGAAGAAGAATTCTACTTGTTGGCATATGTTCCATCAAGGCTAACAGGTGTATGTAAGTAATAGGCATATAACTTGCAAAGAATATTTTGAAATAATCTAGCTTCCAATTAATTCTGTCATTGAATAACTATCGAGTTTTTCAACTATATCTTTCAAAATTGTAGAAAATTCTTCGTAATTACTAACAACTTATAAGAAATGAATTATTACAAATCACTTTTTAGTTTCTTTGTGTTCGCGATTATTTTGAATAGCTTGTTCTTGTGATTACACCAAGTGAGGGCAACCGAATTGTGTTAATCGCAAATTACAGAGTTAATTGGTAAAATAGGAAAACCATATCGTAAATTGTTAATTTGCAAAATATCAATCCATCATATTGAACTGGAGGACTGTTCCTGTTGCAAAACATCAATACATTGTCACTGTTCATGCGTTTCATACAAATCCCATTTTTGTGTTCCCGCTCTTCCTTTCTCTTGATCTTCTCCCATCTTCTGCTGCCAGACATTACGTTTTTACTCGCGTCATTGTACTACTTATAAGTAGCGCGCACCACACAACCATATCTATTAATGTTTCAGTAAGATAGTGCGAACTTTCACATAGAATTATTATTTTAATTATAAATAATTTCTATTATTATTATTAGTATTATTATTTAATTACACATTAAAAATAATAAGAAAATTTCAATTTTATACTTACACATTTCATAAAATATTCTCCACGATAAATTAATCCAAATACAATACAAATTGCATTGAACAAAATGATTGTTAAATGAAAACAAACAATGAGTGGTGTTGGTCCTGTTACAATTGAATGAATACAAATGAATTAATCAGTCAGTTAAGTTAGTCGAATAACATAAATTTTTTTATCAATATGAATAATATTTATTATACACTTATGAAGATTGTTATGAATCAATCATTGTTAGCGGTGACCAGGTAGAGTTCAACTTTGTCGAGTGTAATTAGTAGTAACTACTTGAAGACATGAGGTGAGCTTGCATAAGATCAAAGTTGGATGCCAACTGGATCCGTGGTGTTCGTACGTAAGACCGGGAGGTCTTAGGTTCGATTCCTTCTAGTAGATAGAGTTGTGGATGCGTACAGTTGACGAGTCCTATACTCGGACGAAACAGTCATCTAATCGAACAACATAAATTTTCATCAGTATGAATAATATTTATTATGCAGTTATGAAGACTGTTGGTTTTGATTGAAATCATGAATCAGTCATTGTTGGCGGTGACCGGTAGAGTTCATCTTTGTCGAGTGTAATTAGTAGTAACTAATCGAAGACATAAGGTAAGCTTGCATAAAACCGTCGATCGATCAAAGTTGGATGCCGACTGGATCCATGGTGTTCGTATGTAAGACCGGAGGTCTTAGTGTTAAGATATTCATTCAATATCCTAGGAGAATTATTGGTCAAATCCTATTAGTCGATTTCTATTGGTCAAAACTATGGTCGTTTTAACTGTCAAAGTCAAATACTTCAATATTGTCTCTTATTGGTTGTCCTGACTATCAATGTCACTTCAAATGTTACTTCCTATTGGTCATCTTCACAGTCAATGTCACAGAATTCGATGCTGTTTCCTATTCGACCAAAATGTATAAATACGCATTATCTGTAACATTTTATGACCACGACCAGGACCAGGGCTCGGTCCCGAATCCCTAGTCCGGGATCCTGATTCTCTTCTGGATTCGGACCTCGTACTCTCTCCATGCTTGTAGAATACAGGTTCTACTTCATATCACGTCTTCTTATTTTTACTAAATATGGAGGTTGAGATAATCGGATTAGAGTAGCATGTCGTGCACACCGGATCCTCGATCCTCGCTATCGTTTTCCGACTAGGTAAACTCGTAATAGTTCAAGTTTATCAAAATGACGTGTTTACGTATGGGCGTAACACTTAGGTCCAATTCCTTCCAGTAGCAAGAGTCGTGGATGCATACAGTTGATGAGTCTTATACTCGGACGAAACAGCCATCTAATGCTTTTAGATGTCGAATGGTAGTCTATCTAATGATTGATTCATGATTTCAACCAAAAATAACAATCATTTTTTTAATTATGTGCTATGTTGAGGATAAATATCAGAACGAATTTAAATTTTCGTTATAATTTATGTATGATTCAGAAATTTAACATTTAAAAACTAACTACTTTTGGTGTTCTATTCTACTCTGGCTGTTAGATGAATGAGTAGAGCAGACTACATTTCAAATCAATAGTTGTTTGTTATGATGTTCAGTGTCCAAATCCACGGAAATCAACCATTTGAGCGAAAAAAATTATGGATTCATCCCTTGACCAATCAGTTACATTCATCCTTTAGGAATGACCATCAAATGACCTTCCTGTGAGGTTGCCTCTGATTGGCTCTCTATGTTTTAATAATGCTTGTTAATTTTTAACTATGAGCGACTACTACTGTAGTGTAAGAGAACATAGGTGAGGCAACCGAATTGTATTTAACGAAAAATTACAGAGTTACTCAGTAAAATTGGAAAACCATATCGTAAATCGTTAATTTGCAAAATAACAGTTCATCATATCGAACTGGACTGTTCCTGTTGCAAAACATCAATCCATTGTCACTATTCATGCGTTTCATACAAATTCCATTGTGTTCCCAATCTTCTTACTTTCTTGATCTTCCCCCATTTTCTGCTGCCAGACATTACGTTTTTGCTCGCGTCATATACTACTTATAAGTAGCTCGCACCACACTAGTACTACTACCTCACTTATATCATGGTCATTAGTTAGTTAGCTGAAGGTGATTGGCATTAGCAAGACAGCCTGAGTGAGCTGATCAATAGGTTGGACTAGATCAATATGAACATTCTCCTGTCGTCTTATGCTTCAATGTCACGAGCTTCTAAACACAATTAAACAATAGATCGACTCATTTTTGCTTCTAACTAACACAATCGATGAAGTGCTGTTATGTTCATAGAACAACTCTTGTTGGCACATATAAGAACTAATTTCTACACCAACATTGTTATAATTAGGTCATGAGTTTGTGATTAGTTTTGTAGTTTAGTGTATTGTATTGTTTGGTTTAAAAATGCTTAAGAAATGCATCATTTCTATTGATGAAGTTGATAAAGCAGAATAGAGAAAATGTCATTTTTTGTTAAAAAAAGTTCAAATTTATTTTTTGCTTATTTACACCTGAGATATTGAGTAAACTGTTTTTTTTAATCAAACAACGTTTTCATAAAGACTAGGTAGTAAGCAGTGTCTTATTGTTTAATTGTTAATATTAGTTAATTTTCAATTAGAGTAATGGAGATTAATGTTTTTTTACATATTTTTTCGAAATCATCAATCAATCATCATTGTTAGACCACCATTAGAGAAAGCTGGAAGCACTGAAAGATGGATGTTTCGTCCTGGTATGGGACTCATCAGCAGTGCGCATCTACGACTCCTGCACCTCACAGGATTCGAACCTGGGACCTTCGATATTGTGCGTGAATGCCTAACCATTGGACCACTGGGCCGGCATTCAACGGTGTTAATGTCTAACTTTGATTGATTTAGGGGCTTTTGCGCGACCTCAATCATTAGATGTCTTTGGTAGTTACTGCCTACACCCGACAGGGTTGAACTTCACTAGTAACGTGTTCTCAAATAGAACTCCGAGAATTTCCTCACGAAGCTAGTCACAACTAGCGAGCACATTTTACAATATTTTCAATTAGAGTTAAGGATATTAGTGTTTTTCACACATATGATATCATTAATCAATCATTGTTAGACCACCATTCGAAACCTAGAATCCCTGGACGGACGTTTCGTCGTAGTATGGGACACATCAGCAGTACGCATCCATGTTATTAGTTAAATTTCATTAAAAAAGTGACTAGACTAGGCGATGTAACTATACAAAGAACATGATCGATAATAGGTAGTTGAAAGAAATCATAAACTAAAAGTTTACATTTCATGAATGTAAGCACTAATTATCAAATCGTATCTGCAATCTTCAATTCCACCTGGAGCACCTCTGGGGCTATTGCCCGTCCCAAGCTCGAATCAAGGAGGAGCATTGAACATGGAGTTAGTCACTTCAACCCTTTAGAAAACTAACTCGCTTAGAAAAACTCTAACTAGAAAAAGTAATTCAAACCATTTTGGGCTTTTAATACAAATAACGCGGATGCAGACTATTGAACATTCTAATTTAAATGAGTTTCTGCCGACTATCCTCATTCACCTGAAATATCAACAATCAATAATTATCGATTTGAATAACACACCAGCTACATTTTCTAATTCATCTGAGTTATTGATAAACTAACAAGAATTTAAGTAAGAATTTCAAAATGTGAAATCCATTTCACTTGAATTAATTTTCAAGTTCATTATTACTGCAAGTCGATTTTTATGCGACAATTCTTTTTAAAAATATGATCAATAATTTTTCCAGTTCATTAGATTAGATAACAGTATAATGAAATGTGTTGTACGCCTTAATTATCGAATACAATTGGTAGTCATTTGATATCTTTTTAACAAAATCCATTGAACAGAATTAATATGTTTGAAACTACTATTACGAGTTCACCTTACTAGGTAAACGGAGTGGATAGATAGATACAACGCAGACCTTCGTACATAAGTACATCAGTTCAGGTTGCCTTATCACATCAACACAGAGACGTAACTGTCAGTTCAAATCCAAGAGGGATAGCGATAGTAGAAGTATTAGCAGTAATAGAGAAGATTAAGGAGCGAAGATATGATTCGGGAAGTATAATTCAGTGAGATAAATTTAGAAGGAGAAGGATAGAGATGATGAGGAATTCAGAAGGTTAGAATTAGAGAGACAAATGATGCAGTGACACGATAGGCTATTCTGATTCAATTGTCCACGGCCCAGCTAACTATATCAAGAAGTCTTGATAAGGCGTAGAAAGTATATTCTACTAGCACACAGAAAATATGAGGTTGACTCGATATAAATATCCTTGAGAAAGTCACAAAAATAGTGGACTAAAATAATACATCAACCAATGACAGTCATGGATTTTCCGAGTGCGAAATGTAAGCTGAAGGTCAAGTAAGCATCGTACGCGCGAAAACATAAAAACATCCAAAATCAGGATCTTTTCCAAATGAATTCTGGGGATCTAACATCCACAGAAAGAACAAATTATTGATCATTCATTAGTCATCATTACTGTGTATTTTCATCATTTTGGTATTGAATAAATCCCGTTTATCCACTTACTTACTAAATGATCACTAATATATGTATCAGTTAGTATCATGTGTAGTATGTTGAGATGATACTGAGATGATTGATTATTGGCACCAATCCCACTAGGGTACATTAGTTTCCCTAAGGTTACAAGTACAGCTTGCTGATGAGTGTCTAACAGAATGCAACATCAATTCAGGTTCTCTTGCTAATCATCTCTTGGCACCTAACATTATAGTATAATACTCAGATATTGTAATAATGCATCAAGATGGTTCTAACTTGTTTTGTACCGAGGATCATTATACATTCCAATGTCGCTTGCCATATAAATTTCATTCCCTTTGAATGTTTGGAATTTGGCTAGATTTCTATTTGTTAGTGACGTCAGATCCCCAGAACTCATTGGGAAAAGATCCTGATTTTGGACTTTGTGTTTTCACGCATGGGTTGATCAGTTGACTTTGAGATTACATATCCCACTTGGAAAATCCTTGACTGTTGTTGTTGGTTGATGTATTATTTTAAGTACGCTATTTTTGTGGCTCTCTCAAGGATGTTTCTATCATGTATAAACAAGTTCGATTTGTGTGCCTGTCGACCTCGTATTTTCTGGGTGCTTGTAGAATACACTCTCTATCCCTTGTCAAGACTTTGTGATATAGTTAGCCGGGCCGAGGTGTTAGGATATTCATCCGATATCCTAAGAGAATTATTGGTCAATTCCTACTGGTTAATTCCGACTGGTCAGTTTTATGGTCGTCCTAGATATCAATGTCACCTACTCCAATGTTGTTTCCTATTGGTCATCTTAACTTTCAATGTCACACACAGACTTCTATGCTGTTTCCTATTCGATTGAAATGTATATATACGCATTATCTGTAACGTTTTATAACCCGGATCACTAGTCCGGGATCATCAACCCATTCTGGACTCGGACCTAGTACTTTCTGAATGCTTTTAAAATACAGCTTCTATTTCATACCAAGTCTTCTTCTTTCACTCAAAGATGGTAGGGAAACTCGGATTGAGTGGCGTGTTGTGTCGCCGGATTCTTGATCCTCGCTCTTGTTTCTCGACTAAGGTAAACTCGTAATAATTCAAGCATATCAAAATGACGTATTTATGTGAATGCGTAACACGGGAACAAAGGGATTTGAATAGCCTATCACTGCTTCACTCTCGTTTACCGAGTAAGGTGAACTCGTAATAGTAGTTTCAAGGATATCAGTTGATGAACATATCACTACTTGTCCTAAATTATTCCTATAGATGACAACTATGAATGTTGAATAATCAGTTGATATGAAATTGACAAATTTTTCATCAACAGCATATATATAATGAAGTCATAAATATTGGATTGACAACCCTCTGCTTATTTACATTGATGTATGTATATTACAAGTGAAAATGTCTAACATTTTATCCAATATTCAGTCTAAAGGATCATTTGCATTATGGGGTTGTGAAGATTGTTAAGTTACACATTTTTGAAACGATGAATCGATCAATGTTAGACCACCATTAGAAACCCACAAGCACTACATGGCCGTTTCGTCCTGGTATGGGACTCATCATTGGCAGTGCGCATCCACGACTCCTGCACCTCGCAGGATTCAAACCCAGGACCATCGGTATTATGCGTGAACGCCTAACCATCGGATTACTGAGCTGGTATCTAACGGTGTTAATGTCTAACTTGATCAGTTCACGGAGTTGCGCAACCTCATACACAGTCTTCGGTTGTTACCGTCTAGATACCGGCCCAGTGGTCCGATGGCTGGGTGTTCACACACAATACCGAAGGTCCTGGGTTCGAATCCTGAGAGGTGTAGGAGTCGTGGATGCGCACTGCCAATGGTGAGTCCCATACCAGGACGAAACGGCCGTCCAGTGCTTCCAGGTTTCTATTGATGGTCTATCATTGATCGATTCATGGTTTCGAAAATGTGTAAAGGATCATTGCCAAACATATAACATTGAATAGTGTAATGATCAACAACGCTTATCGTGCATAGTGAACATCAATTTTTAAAATTTTTTTCAGTATAGAGTTATGGAGATTGTTGTTTGTGATTGAAATTATCGTTCAACCATTAGAAACTTGGGAGCGTTGGATGGACGTTTCATTTTGTTAAAGGACTCATCAGCAGCGCGAACACATAACTCTCACTATTAGGAGGTATCATAACTCAGGACCTCTGGTCTTCCACTCGAACGCTTAATCTTTTCACCACCGAGCCGTCATCCAACGTTGTGACGTGTCCAGTAGAGTTCAACCTTGTCAGGTATAGGCTATAACTACCGAAGACAATGGATAAGTTCGCAGAAAACCTTAGGTTGGTCTAATTTAAACATTAACGCCGTTGAATGTCCTCGGGCTTAGCACGCAAGACCGAAGATTCTGGGTTCTAATTCTATGAATAGCAGTTGTTGTCAATGCATACTGCTGATGAGTCATCCACATACCAAAGACAAAACAACTGTGTACAGACAATGCTTGTAAGTTTCCAAAAAGTTCATTCATGATTTATTGTTTTATTTTTAAAAAAAAAATAATCATTCATCATCTAATTCATTTACCTCTAAGTATTCGAAATAAACATTTTGATTCATTGTCAGTAAAATCAATATTTGATTTTGTTGTATATTGTTCATCAACTACTTTAATGATACCATGAAATAAATTTTCTAATGATTCAATTAATAATGCAATTGGTCCAATTATATCACGAGTTGCCATTATCTAGAGATTAAAAGAAAAAAGAGAAGAGTAATCAAAATGAAAATAGAATAGGATTTGTGTTGATTGTATGATGATGTTGTACGATGATTGAAATGAAGAATCAATGTTAACTAGACCACTATTGATAAATATCAAGGTAGTAGATAGCCAGTTCAGCTTAGTTTGAGATTTTTCAGCAGTACACATTCATGAGTTCTTCAGGAAGGAATAGGAGTTAGGATATTCGGTTTCTTGTCACAACTATACCATTGAGTTGGCCGACAGTAATATAACAAAGTGTAGTTAAGAGCACTTCAGGTCTCAACATTCATAAAGGGAAAAGTAAGATTCTACGATGCAACACAACATGCACCAACCAAATCACTCTTGATGGAGATGCCTTGGAGGACGTTAACACGTTTACATATCTGGGCAGCATCATCGACAATCAAGGTGTATTCGATGCAGAAGTGAGTGCGCGGATCAGCAAAGCAAGGGCTGCATTTCTACAGTTGAAAAATATCTGGAACTCCAAACAAATATCAATCAACACCAAAATCAAGATTTTCAATACAAACGTGAAGACAGTTCTACTGTATGGATCCGTTGGCCAGAAACCATCAGCAACAACTTACTGTAGGAGAGAACAAACTAGATTCCACTGGAGAAGGAAATCATGAAGAAGCACTGGAAGTGGGTCGACACACACTACGAAAAGCACAGAACTGCGTCACAAGATAAGCCCTCACTTGGAACTCTCAAAGCGAAAGGAAAAGAGAAAGGTCAAGGAACAAATTAAGCCGAGAAATAGAGAAAGATTTAATAAGAATGAACAAAGACCGGAAAGAAATGGAAAGGGAAAGAAAGCCCAGGGAAGGGTTGGTTGGAGAAAAATGGTGGGCGGCCTATAGTCCATTGAGGGTAACAGGCATAAGTAAGTAAGTAAGTAAGTTAAGATCAGTTGGTGATTTGAACAGTGAGAATAAAACATGCCACACAAATCTTCTTGATTAATAAATAAATGCCGAGATAAATTTGGGGAATTCTAGTATGACACATCAAGATCAATGTAGTTCAACTTTGTCGGGTGTGAAGCAGGGTCATGAGTTCGCTCTGATGAGTCTTAGACAAAACTTAGACGAAACACCCGTTGAGTGTTTTCAGATTATAGCTGAAATTTCAATTATGAACATTAATCTACAAAAAACAGACAGACATACAGATACAACACAGAACTTCGTAAGTAAGTACATCAGTTCAGGTTTCCATACCACATCAGCTCAGAGACGCAACTGTCAGTTCGAATCCAAGAGTGATAGCGATAGTAGAAGTATTAGCAGTAATGGAGAAGATTAGAGAGGGGAGAAACGATTCGAAAAGTAGAATTCAGTGAGATGAATTTAGAAGGAGAAAGGTAGAGATTATGTGGAATTCAGAAGGTTAGAGTTTGAGAGGATACAAAGAGTGGATGCATCTGCTCATCTCAAACGATTCAGAGCTATGTCTTTCAAGGTCTCTAACGATCGGTGAATTTTGTCTCGCGAACCCCAACCAGATAGCCTACATATACCAACACGACTCAGTCCACTTGTCAGTGACTTCATGGATTTCTGCCATGTTTTCGTTCGGCCGTCTCTAGCTTGCTTCCAACCTACTAATACACCACAATACATAGCTCAGCCGAAGCTGCTACCTTCACGTGCTGGTCGGGCTTGCCTATCGTGATGACTCAGCCGAGCTATGCTGGCTGGAACATATGTTTCTGAACGTTCTACCATTCCAGGCAGGTCGACTGGAGAACGATGAGACTAAAAGCAGCTACTCAAGGTTTGAGGGCGAAGTCATACTGCTGAATGCAGAGGGGTGTTACAACACTTAGGTGTTTCTCTTGGACAACCAGCATCTGAAGCGATGCTGCCTTCTCACAAGGAAGGAAGGATTAGAAAATGTCGACCCTAAAAATGTCACACCTCACCCTACCTCATGGATTTCCGTCTCCGTCGGTAAGGGCTGCCTACTAGGGGCTTTCAGGAGCGGAGCTAATACTCTCATAAAAAGGCTGTGCGTGACCGGCCTCAAGCAGTTGACCCTTGGACTCTGCGGTCACGCTCACAGGTCGTTAAGGCCAAACACTAATCTACTTCGTTTTCAGGTTTCTCAAGAAATAAACAGCCTTCCACAGTGTGGGCAGCCGGGAAGTGACAACCGGCCTCATACCTGTAACAGCACGCGAGACCAAATCGGTCATAATCATATCCTTCCTACTCTACAAAAACTATTGAGGTTATGATCGAATAAAAGATATAAATATACCGCTTCAGTATACAAAGATGAAATTTGAATTTAGGAGGGACATCGAATATGTTCAAGTATCGAATTGTATTGTTCCCTTTGGCTCAATTTATCTAGTTTTGTATGAGTAAATATGAAAGAAAATCTCATTAAAGTAATGCGATAATAATTTAAGAAATATTTCAGAATTCAACTGATGGTTGTTAAATTTGATTGAGTTCACTTTGCAAAATTGTTTATAATTCTCTCACTTTATTACAACCTAGCCAATTCACTCAGGACGTTCTCTTAAAATCAAAACACCGATGAACAGGAAAATAGAGAATATACTCCAGTAACAAGGTTAGAAGTAAGGCAGAAGGTCCTAAGGAAAAAGATGTTGGTAGATATTTACATATAGTTTTCTTACACGAGAAAATTCTAGAATGTTCCCTTAGTATCGGCTAGCGCTGATTGGATAGGAAAAGAGCCAATCAGTGTGCAAAACTGCAATCATGCTTTAATGCACTCTATGTCCGACACTAACAGAGATTCGTAAATATTGACTTGGTTCAAAGTCGGAGCTTGTCTTTTTTAACGTATTCATAGATTAATAGTATACAATAGGTTCACAGAAATTCGGATTTATGACTATATAATTGAAAATTAATTTAAGAACAATTCATTTATACAGCGATTTTATTATATATCTCTACTTAATTTGCAAAAGATGAAGCCTTCTTCTCCGAGTTCTAGTGGGAAGTCGTGACCAGTGAAGTTCGACCTGTTTGGGTGTAGATAGTAACTACCGAAGACTGTGTAAGAGGTCGCGCAACTCTGTAAAACTGATCAAGTTAGACATTCAGACCGTTAGATGCCGGCTCAGTGGTCCAGTGGTTAGGCTTTCACGCACAATACCGTAGGTTCTGGGGTCGAATCCTGTGGGGGTGCAGGAGTTGTGGATGCGCACTGCCACTGACGAGCCCTATATGAAGACAAAACGGCCGTCCAGTGCTTGTTGGTTTCTAATGGTGGTCTAGCATTGGTCGATTCATCGTTTCAAAAATGTGTAACTTAACAATCTTCACAACCCCGTAATGGAAAGATGAAGTCTAACGATTTATGAACAGTGATGATCGCATTGTTATAAAATATAACTGGTAACATTTCAACATATCAAACCTTAATTTTCTTGAATCTACCTATGGTTTTAAACTTCTGTTGCGAAAATTTCTCATAGTCTGATTGACTAAATAATTCCACACTTATTCTATCTTACAGAATGTGGAAACTGACCCAACAGTGGCGTCGACTATAGTTGTTATTTCATCTTACCTACTTACTTACTTACGCCTGTTACCCCCGATGGAGCATAGGCCACCCACCAGTTTTCTCCAACCCGCTCTGTCCTGGGCTTCCCTCTTCAGTTCTATCCAATGTTTGTTCATTCCTTTCATATCTTTCACTATTTCTCGGCGCAGTGTGTTCCTTGGCCTTCCTCTTTTCCTTTTGCCTTGAGAGTTTCAAGTGAAGGCTTGTCTTGTGACGCAGTTAGGTGCTTTTCGTAGTGTGTGCCCAATCCACTTCCACCGCTCTTCCTGATTTCCTCCTTCACTGGAATCTGGTTTGTTCTCTCCCACAGTAAGTTGTTGCTGATGGTGTCTGGCCAACGAATACGAAGTATTTTGCGTAGACAACTGATCTGGATGATGGCTTTGTTAATTTTCCAAGTTTCCACTCCATACAGTAGAAATGTTTTGATATTTGTATTGCGAATTATGATTTTGGTGTTGATTGATATTTGTTTGGAGTTCCAGATATTTTTCAATTGTAGAAATGCAGCCCTTGCTTTGCTGATCCGCGCCCTCACATCTGCATCCGATCCACCTTGATTGTCGATGATGTTGCCAAGATATGTAGAGGTGTTAACGTCCTCCAAGGCATCTCCATCAAGAGTGATTTGGTTGGCGCATGTCGCGATGTATCGTAGAAAGTTACTCTTGCCGTTGTGCATATTGAGACCTACTGCTGCAAAGGCTGCTGCTACACTGGCCGTCTTCTCTTACATTTGTTGTTGCGCGTGCAATACAGTAGTCAGGTTATCTGCGAAGTCCAGATCGTTCAGCTGTGTCCTAGCTGTTCATTGAATGCTGTGCTTTCCTCCAGATGCTGACGTCTTCTTAATCCAGTCGATCACCGGGAGAAGGAGAAAGAGTGAGAGTAAGCAACCTTGCCTGACACCGGTCTTCACCTAGAACGATTCTGTCAGCTGTCCTCCGTACACGATTTTGCAGTTGAATCCATCATAAGAATTCTGTATGATGTTGACTATCTTTTCAGGCACGCCGTAGTGTGAAAGAAGCCTCCATAGAGTTGTTCTGTTCAAACTACCAAATGATTTCTCGTAGTCAATGAAGCTGATGTAGAGTGGTGAATTCCATTCAATTGATTGTTCCACAATGATCTGTAATGTTGTAATTTGGTCGGTACATATTCGATCCTTACAAAATCCAGCCTGTTGATCACGAAGTTGGACGTCTAAGAAATCCTTCATTCTGTTTAACAATACCCTGTAGAAGAATTTGCTTGGTATTGAGAGAAGAGTGATGCCTTTGTATTTCTCACACTTGCTGAGATCGCCTCTCTTTGGTATTTTGATAAGTTATCCTTCTTTCCAGTCAATATAGATGAAATAAATCGATATCTAGTGTAGGCATAAATTCCTAAATCATTTATCATTTTGACAT